CCACACCCAGCGGCGCCGCTGGGCCAATGGGAGCGCCGGGAGGGGGCGTGCCTGGCGCCAGAGCCAATCGGAGTGCGCGGGGGCGGAGCGCGGCCCGCCCCTCTCGGACTCCGCGGCGGCCTCGCAGGTTCTTGCGCCGCGGCGCGGGGAGAGTGAGCAGATGGTCCCGGGGCCCTCGAGGCCGTCTGGTCAGCGCCGGACACGCACCCCTTTCTTGGCGTGTCCTCGGTGGAGACGGCGCCGCCCTGATAGGGAGGGGCTGAAGCGCAGCCCTGGCCCGCCGCCATTGCCGCCCCGAGGCGCGTCACGTAGGCCGGGTGGGGCTGCAGTGCGCACGCGCAGCGGGATGTGGTGCACGCGGCCCGCGAGGCACGAGGGTGGTGTGAAGTGGGGACCGCTGGGCGCCTACTAAGCATGTTGGTGACTCGGCCCCTACACCTTATAAGCAGAAGATTGCTTCTCCAGGAAATAGTACCACGTGCAGGGCTAAATGGGAATTATAAACATAAAATCAGTGCATACATAAAGGACAATTAGAAATGAGAACATGGCTGGAAGAGGTCAGTGGAGAGTGGAAGCAGCTCGTGGGTGTCTTTATCACACAACAGCAGCCAGGAATCCCAGAACCTCGCAGTCACAGAGGGCAACAAAATAAGGCTATTCCAGGTTCCAGTAACCTCACTAGGACCTTTATATTTTTTCCATTAATTTTTTTAAATATAATTTTTGGTTCTTACAACTTTTACATATTCATCAGTTGAATTCAGGTCCTAACTGGCTGGCAGAGTAACATTCTGCAGTGCTCAAATCCATGTCAACACCTCAGGAAACACCTTCCTTCAGTTTTTTGCATAAAAGGATAATTTTAGGTTGTCATTTGTATGTATTTTTGTTGTTTTAAAAATGTAAACACAATACCATGTGTGATAAAAGCAAATTACAATTACCTAATTTCATCAAAAATGTAGTGTCTAGGTTTCCCCAATCACCTCATTCTTTAGTCTAAATTGGGGTTTAAACAAGGTTCACTGTGTCCTATCTATACACCAATTCGTTTGTGTATTAAGTCTCTCTTAAAATTTTTTTTGTTTGGAAGTAACTTGAGGATCACTTAGAAGTTGCAAAGACGGGACAGAGTGCTCCACGTCTTAAGGTAGTTTGTTTTAAATCTGAAAGTTCCAGCCAGGAAATATAGCTGTCTCCTGTAGGGTTTCTTGCAGTTGCTGAGTCCATGTGGAGTCCTTCAGTGTACTTTCGTCCTCTGATTCAGTAAAGGGTATTAGAACATTCTAGTGGCTTGATCACAGGTTGAATTTTTTTGACAAGACTACTTCATAGACGGTGTTGTGTAATTCCATCGGGAGGTTATATATCTACCAGCTATTGAAGAAATTGCCTAGATCGATTGATCTGTCTGTCCCTCCATCCATCCCTCAGGGTGATATTTTAATCCTACCATTTCTTCTTCACTTCTTAGAGGGAATATTTCTATAATGAGAACTTCTCCACTATTTGGTTACTCTATTTTAGATTTTATAAAGGCAGGACAAATGTGCGATTATTTTCCTTCATTAATTGGTCAAAAAATCCCAGTTTGTTTCTCAGCATCCCCCCAAAATGAACAAAAAACTTAAAAATATATCATGATGAATGAGGGATTTAAACATGAGCATCTTCAATTCTCTTGATTCTTATTGATGCTCAAATACTTTTATCTTTTTTCTGCAATTAGAATCTCTTCAGTTAGACTCTGAAGTTCTTCTGACAAGACACTAATAGTCTCTTTGCTTTTGATACATTTCCTTGTTCATTTTTTTTGCTTCAGACCTGAAATCAGTCTTTTTTCCAAGAACCAGGAAGAAAAGGTCTTCCTCCTGCATTCTCTCTTTAGCACCCTCTACTGACAACTAGATCCATTTTCATAGAGCAGGAAATGAAGTTTGAATTTAGAGCTGATATAATGCATTGGTAATTGGCACAATATAGATTTTATTCGCTCAGTCCTCTACTTACAGATATTTATTTCCAGTCTTTTGCTATGACCAATACTCAGCAAGATTTTAACCAAATCAGATATCATTTGTTCATTCATTTAATATTTGCAGAATGCCAGTGCAGCCTTCATCTTTAAATGGTTTATAATATGTAGGAAAGGTGGAATTATGCAAATAACTGCAATGCAAAGTAGAATTTTCTGGGTATCAACTCAGTTCTAGCTAAATTCAGAGGAATAAGATCACTTCCAGCTGCAGCGAACAGGAAGGATTTAAAGGAGGTGATAACAATTCAAATGGACCTTCAAGATGGTGTAAGATCTTAACAGAGAGCCTTTTCAAGAAGACAGGATACGAATTGAGGCGTCAGGTTAGGGAAACTACCATGTTCAGGCAGAGCCTAGTATTGCTGCAGCTTAAAACAGAGGTTCTCAGAGAGTGGTTCCTGGACCAGAAGCCTCTGCGAAATCTAAGTTTTTAGGCCGCACCCACTTCTGGGAACAGGGTCCAGCAGTCTGGGGTTCAACAAGCCCAGCAGGTGACTCTAATGCAGTAACTGAAGCTAACTGGTAAAGGAGAAAAATTGCTTCTAAATTTTTATCATTGTCTATACTGGTAAAACTTGTAGGGTCATGCACACTGATGTATGCATATTTCTTTATAAGGCGATCTCATGCATGGCTGTATTAATCTATGTGAATTATAAAACACATAAAAAGGGATTAAAAGATAAAAATAAGGGATACGAGCTCCAGTACGTTCTCCCAGCATCTTGCAGATCATCTCCATCACCCCAGTTTGGAGGCCACTGAAGTAGGCAGTGGCTGTGTGGTGGCGGCTCTCCTGTTCCAGGTAGGGTTCGTTTACTTCATCTGGTCGGAAAAAAAAAAGGCAAGTTTTTACAATCTTCACCATAAATATGCACGCATCTGTCGTTAGGTTAACTTTAGGTACCTCGTACTTTTCCCGCCAATTTAAACGGTTTTTTCGAGGTACAAATGCCAGACCTCCTAAAGGTTCAGTTACACCAGACGTTCTCTCAGGACATGGCCGGGGCCTCCACACCCCGTGGCGGGCACGGGACAGACCGCCTGCTGCCCGATTGCGTTTGCCGGCTCTGCGAGCTCTGCAGCGACGCTGGGGCTGCTCTGCGATGAATTCCTTGTCTCCCACTCCGGGTGGCTAAATGGGAGGTCTGGAAGTCAGCGCTGTCGCGGCCCCTCTCCTCCTTCACTCCGCCAGAGTCCGGCCGTTGGGAGGATGCACGGCCCTCACGGGACCAGAGTCACAACGACACCCAAACGCCTAATTCCGCCAAGTCTGCGGTCCCGCCCCCAACCCCGGAAGTCAGCGTCTCGCCCCACCCAACCCGGAAGTAGTACCTCCCGCC